CAACATCAGTCCTTGGGCTCCTTCAGTATGCAACAGTATATAATGAGTATTCAGTCTTTCTTCATAACTCAATGAATACGATCTAGTATTTATTGATTATTCAGTGCTTGAGCTCCTTCAGTATATGAAAGTATATAATTAGTATTCAGTAACTGGGTACCTTCATTAAGTTACATCTAGTAAATTAGTATGTATTATTACTAGAAGTATTACATCTAGTACATCTAGTATGTAGTGAGTAGCTGTGACTTGGGTTCTTTCATCTTGAATAAACATGAAACAGTATACCAAAAGTATTTACCAGTCATAAGTGTTGATGCTCCGACTGTCAGAAGTGAGTCTGTGTTCATATTGTCTTTTTATCTTGTATTTAAGTCATAAATGGACTTAAGACTTTTAAAATTATTTTGAAGCAAATATCCTAAAGTTATACTTTAAAAAAATCAGATAAATTGGCAAAAATGGCCAATAAGCATGCACTATGGAAGACGCAGTCTTGTTTTTTATGTTCTATAATTACCCAACATGTTTTCTGTGTTCCGAACTTGTCATTACACAGAACTGGTGGCATAAAATACATCAGACTGCAAGCCGCAGAACACCGCAGGGATCCAGGCTAGATGTGGCAGATTAAAGCCATCATGTGTTGTGTTGACTGAAATTAAATATTTTCATCTCTTAGCTGAAAACGAAAAAGCTGAGTCAAGAGGCACAAACATTTATCTTACTTACTGAGGCGTCTGATCAAACTTGTCTTCGTGCCAGGCCTATTTTGTAACACGGCCTTTTGTAATGACCAGAAACGGTATGGCTTTTGTAAATAACCAACATAAATCATGATGTTCTCATTGTAATTACTATTTCAAGTTGCCTTGTAAGCACATTTTATAGTCCACCACAACTTTCTGGAAACATGGCAGTGTGGTATGAAGCTTGAAAAAAAGGGTATGTTACAGACAATCTGACAATCACCCTGATGGGGGCTGGCCTGCAACAATGTATAACATCGGACAAGTGCCTTTCTCTTTTCTACAGCCTATTCAGACATAAATCACGGATTGTAACAGCACACAATAGACATCTGTTGAGTATTTTTCCTTATGGAGCTCATAACAGAGGTTTGGGAGGAAGGTTAGATCTTAATCATGCACACTTCCGCTCTGCTACGTATATATATATACATATCTCGCCTGGCGGGACTTCCCTTTGCGCATTTCTGTCGCACCCCTCCTGCCACCACATCCCCACCCTTGCAGCGGCTCCCTGGCTCATTCCTGCTGAGAGAGAGGGGGGTTCATTCAGCCTCATCCTTACAGTCAGACTGCCATTCCCCCAGCTAGGAGAAGCAGTACAATACACCCTCAAAGACACATTCATTAGGACCTCACCAAACTACTGACTTGAGAAATGAGGCACATTTTTAGATGAAAGACCACTCATTTATAACACTGCATTTTTCACACATCTCCGGTTAACAAAACCATGTATCTTTCTTCATCCATTGGGCTCCCAACGCATTTTCAGGAGGAAAAAAAAAAGATTTGACCTGACACAAGAATGGTTACTTTAACCCAAACACTCGGGAGTAAACGATTCTGCTGAGTAAAACCAATAAAAACATAGAATCATATTACATATTACAATGGCAATCTTGGCACTATGTCCCAGTTACAAACTTCTCTACAGTATGGACCCCTATTGTTTGTAGTAGTGTCGCAATAAAGTGTAATGTGCAACACAAACCTTTTGTTTATGTGTGTCTATACAGTGAAAATGCATGCAAGCAATCTTAAAATAAATATCCTGAAGTCCAGTAGTGCAATCCATAACTAGATAACCCGAAAAAGTGTTAATTGATGTCTTCAGTTCACATTGTTGTCAAACTAAAACAGCAAAGATATGACAGAATTTCCTCTTAAGTCTCATCAGGGCTTTTCATACTTTTAACTTAACTCAAATTTTAAATATCCCTCCTAAAGGAAAATACATTATTACATGCATTTTTGTACCATTTTTAAAAACTTTCGCAAAGAATTAAAGTAGTTTTCCTGCAACTCCCTGTTACAGCTCAAACTACTTGTAATCTTTTTATATCGCATGTGTTACCAGTGGTCTTTCAAATGAATACAAGGATGAAAAACTACTTAAGAGGAACAGTACAAACGAGGCATCTGGCAGTTCAGACAGATCAGTCGAACTTTCTAGATACAGTCAAATTTTAGAATACATCTCCGTTTGTCCTTGTCTGGAAATGCCTTTTAATTTACAGCAATCACTCAACGTTTCCGCGTCCATTGAGAAACACGTTTGTACCTCATTTATGAAATCCTAATCTAAATCTTGCAAAACTGTGAACCGAATTTTAGGACCACGCCTCTGATTACAAACTAAATATAGTCTTAACAAGCGCCTTTTAGTAACTTCCGCCATTGCAGATTAAAATTAGTAATGCTTCGGGTTTTTTTTTTTCTGGGACGTAACACAACTACGCAAAAACAATAATCAGAGCAAGGTCTGCAAGCTAGCATCTTTGAAAAACACCAGCATGCAAACTGAAACAGCACTAAGTAGCCCGAATGCTTAAATGCCATTGAAAGCAGCACACTAGCACAATACTATAATGGTGTTTTTTGGGGCAGGTCTGATTCCGGGAGCCAGGCAGTGGCACTGCGCATGCCCCGGTCTCTGGCTCGGCGCCAGGTGGTTCAGCTTGTTGTTCTAGCGGGGTTGGGCGAGGTAAGACGCGGGTACGTGACTAAACATCTTACTTCCTCTTTCGAACGTCGTCACGAGGGCTTTGCAAAAACAAATTCTGCTTTGTGTCTGCAGATTTCAGACGCATTGCCTCACCCGTGAAAACTGAGCAGCAGCAGCAGCTACGGCCAGTTTGGAATCAGGCCAATTTCATCAAGGCGGTGAAAACAAAACAAAATTACCGGTTATAGTTTTGCCTGCCCTGGTGAAGTTAAATATGCGGGTAGCTGGGCGTTCAGTCTGCTCTCTTGCATTCATGCAGAAAAAGAAATGCAGTTTAAATGATTTTTTCGCGTCCATTGCACGTAATTACGACCCTTTTCTTTCGGTTAAAGCCAATTCTGGATTTTTTTTTCCCTTTGAGAGATCACAGTTTTCAGCGGGAGACGATACCACTACGTGAAAGTACGAAGAATAAAACGTTTTTAAAACTGCACATATTGGTTTTAAAACGATTTAAACATCTTCCGTTTCAAGGAATGACATTATTTCCGATTTGCCCTATGCAATGCGGTGCAAGTATCAGATTGTTACTTTTAAACATCGGTTTGTTATTGTAGTCGGAATAAATAAAGTCCGCTACTTTAAAAACGGGAGATTTTCTGAGGCGCTGCGTTTGTACATCTGCACCTCTGTGGTAGTTTAAAAACAACACGACCTGTTGCTATCTTTTGAACTGGAAATCCCCAGGCCATGCGACAGCTGAAAACCTGAATGCTAAGTGTTTGGTTTCGGCTTCATTTCCTTTGTGTAATTTAAGAAAGCAGTTTCAATAGATTGAAAAAAACGCCTACTCACTCCAGTGTTTAAAATGAATAGAGTGTGCAGCTACTGTAGCATTTCCAATAGTAACAAGCCTGTGACGGCCACATGACAAGGTCAACATAAGCCCAGAGAATAATATTTATTGGCAGGGAGAATATTCGTTCTAATTGCGACCTATTAATACAGTACTGTGCAGTATAACTTGGTTATTTTTGCATCGTGTTATTCGTCTACATAAATTACCAATAAGTTCTATTGCTTTTAGTTATGTGAATGCAATCAGATACATACTATTTATATCGCCGAACAGTAAAATGTAACACATTCGCTACACGTATGTTAAAAATTATATCCAGGAATAAACACTCCTCTGTGGCTGCCACCGGCATACCTAAATGTGAGGTTTGTAAAGCCCATCTTTCTGTTGCGTTTATAATTTAGTGCCGGGCTTCACGAAGTAGCACAAATTACGCTCAACGATGTCCGTTTTAATATCCTTAAAGAATTATACTGCCAGTAACATGTGGGGCGAAAATTAGACATGACTTCTGCGTACTCAGGAATTTGTCTTTCTTTTAAAAAAAGAGGGGGGCACGGAGACGATTGCAGAACTCAGTCCGCAGAATGCAAGTCGAGCGAGCTGTTGTTTTCACGGTTAGCTGAGGGCGGTGTCGAGTGTGACGCGGCGCTGGTATTCTGGCTGGAATGTGGATTTGCTAAATGGGTCTGGGAAGTGCCAACTGCATAGAGTCACGTACTTATTGAGCATGCGTGGAACAGCCGGGAAACTGGAGAACATTGGTGACGCAACTGGCAGAGTCTGGTTGCTTAAAGGGCATTAACACTTTGTAGCCGGGATCCACCGTCTCCTTCCAAACGAATACCTACCACAACCTAGTTTTCAAATGCACTAACGCAGCAATATATATATATATTTAAAAAAAAAACTATAACATAAGACTACCGCCAACAATTCAGTGATTTCCACCGGTCACGACTGGCATCTCTCCTTACAATTTCCACTTTCCCCCCACAGACTGAAAACATGCTGACATCGCTTTTGTCTGCTGAAATCGGGCGCAATCCGAACTACTGCGACGGTTTGTTTTTTGGTTTTGGTTTTAAGGACACACCACGCAGGAATGGTGTTTTCATTAAAAAAACAAAACAAAAAAAAACACCACCAACGTAGTCCCCCACGTAGGTTATCCAGCACGTTTTTTTTAAAAAAAACAAAACAAAATAAAAGTTTGTTTTCCCTCCTATGAATAAGGTCTTCCCATTGCCACAGTCCTCTCTAAACGGTGCTTTCTTTTTGTTTAATAAATTGAAAGGAGAAACGGAAGCAAAGTACGAGTTGGAGGGAGAGAGGGGGTGGGGGTAGGACAAAACAGCAAACAGTTGAAGTCTGCCTTCCTGCAGTCATCGGCTTTGCGCTCTCGGGCTGAGGTACTGTAGTATTTCTGGCATCGGTTCAATTGATTTTAAAAAAAGGGGGCAGAGACTGCTAGACAGCGCATGCGCTGGAGGGGGGCTGTCGAAGAATCAAGTAAATAGAATTGGAGCTGGAACCACAAGTTTAGTGTTCGCGATGACGTCACCGCTCCACATTGAGCCGGAGCAGTAGTAGTGTGGGAGATAGATAGAGCCGCGCTATAGTAAAGTACACACTGCCATGAACTTCTGTTTGTAACTTAATTGTTGTTGCTGCAGTCAGGAGGGGAAAAAAGGAAACAACAAAAGTTTTTTTTTTCTTTTTCTGGCTGTATCTGATTTTAACAGCAACGAGCACGCAGGCATCTGGAGGAAGACCGTTGAATACTTTTTTTTGCAAAAGCTATGTCGTCCGCGGCGATTGCTGCTTCCAGACGGCAGTCATGTTATTTATGTGACTTGCCCCGCATGCCGTGGGCTATGATCTGGGATTTTTCTGAGGCTGTCTGCAGAGGATGTGTCAACTACGAGGGAGCAGACCGGATTGAGTTTGTGATCGAGACAGCCCGGCAGCTGAAGAGGGCTCACGGCTTCCAGGAAGGGAGATCGCCGGGGCCGGTGAAACCTCAGCTCTCGGGGAAGGAGATCCAGCCCATCAACCACACGGCGGCGGACCCGGGATCTCGCCTGCCGCAGCCCCTGGATCGCTACCCCCTCGCCTCGGACCGGCCGCCGCGACTCGGTCCAGAATATCCGACTGGCAGGCAGTCTAACGGCATCCCTGTCCCAAATGGATTCCCCAAACCCGACGACCCCCCGGAGCTGAACAGGCAAAGCCCCAATCCCCGCAGGACTAGCACGGTCCACGCGAATATAGTGCCTTTGGTGAACGGGACCCTGCCGCCCGTGCACGCTGTCAACGGCAGGTCGGCGCAAATGGGCATCCCGGCGGCGCTAACAGCGGCCGGCCAGAACGAGATCAGCGGCAAGCGGCCGGCCTCCGTGTCCAGCACGGAGCACGACAGGGAGCTGAAGGACAAGCACAGGGCGGACAGCCTGTCCGAGCTGGGGGAGAGCCACAAGAACCGGCCGGACGAGTGGATTACCAAAGGGAAGACGGTCAGGGACTTAATGGCGTTCCACACGATGGACGGCCGGTACAAGAAGGACCACGCAGCGATGCCACAGGGCAGGGTGATGGGCTACGACGCCAACGCCACCGCTTCGAAGCCAGGTAAGCGTCCCCCGACAGAGCCCCGCTTTTCTTTCGCCCCCTGTTTTCGCTGAGCGTGTGTTTTCAGACCAGAAGGACGCGTCTCGACTGAGTCAGCCTCTCTTGCAGCAGACGTGCTAACGGGTATTTCCGCTGATTATCATTCTTTTCGTGTGAGGGCTCAGGGCTCTACTGTACAGGGGGTGATTACAGTACACAGCAGCACGGTTCCCTGCCCGCCTCATTTTTTCCATGTGTTATTTGTGTTGTAATTTAAAACGTGGGGGGTTTGCAGTGCGGATCAAAGAGCGGACCGAAAGCGGTGCCTGTTTAGGGCTTTCATGCATGATTTGATGTGCTTGCCGTTAGCCCAAATTTACGTGTTGTTTTTTAAACTTCCCCAACCCCTCCCCCCCTGCCGCCACCACCACCACCACCACCACCACCAGACAGAGGCAAGCATCCCCGGAACATGAAGAGAAAGGCGTCGCCAGAGCCCGAGGGAGAGAGCACCGCCGGGAAGATGAATGGCGAGGGTCAGTGGCAGCCGGCCGCGGCGGAGGTCCTGAAGATGCCCACGGTGCCCCCGAGCTTCGCCACGGCGCCGTCCACCATCTCGCCCCATTCCAACCGCACGACCCCGCCGGAGGCCGCGCAGAACGGCCAGTCGCCGATGGCCGCCCTCATCCTGGCGGCGGACAACGCTGGGGGCAACAGCTCGCCCAAGGATGCCAACCAGGTGCACTCGACCACCCGCCGGAACAGCAACAGCCCGCTGTCGCCCTCCTCCATGAGCCAAAGGAGACTGGGGCAGAGGGAGGCGCCGGGCGCGGGGACGCCGCACGTGCCGGGCATGGACCAGGTGCACCCGCAGAGCATTCCAGACTCTTCCGTGCCCAACAGCATCCCGCTGTGCTGCACCCTCTGCCACGAGCGGTTAGAGGACACGCATTTCGTGCAGTGCCCGTCCGTGCCGTCACACAAGTTCTGCTTCCCGTGTTCCAGGGAGAGCATCAAGCAGCAGGGCGCCACCGGGGAGGTGTACTGCCCCAGCGGGGAGAAGTGTCCACTGGTGGGCTCCAACGTGCCCTGGGCGTTTATGCAAGGTGAAATAGCCACCATTCTTGCAGGGGACGTCAAAGTAAAAAAGGAGAGGGACCCTTGATTTTATTATCGTTTTTTTTTTAAAAAAAAAACAACGACAACAACAACAAAATATATAAATATAAATTACACGCATACCATCCAAACAAAACTAATGGACTTGTACATATTGGACGCGAGCGAGGAAAGTGTATACTTCATAAACATGGCTGTATAATTTTTGATTTTTGAATACATTGTGTTTCTATATTTTTGAAGATAAAGGTATGTACTCATTATAATGGACTACATTTCCACCCCTTTTTTGTTGATGTTTAAGCCGACTCTCTCGATGTTACCTTTTCGGTCTGGTGGCAGTTTCTGTTAAACGTAGAATGTGACTAATGCTACTCTAAGCACTTGACGCAACTGAAATGCTTTTAGCTGTACTTGTATGCACTTGTTTAAAAAAATTGCCAAATACAATTTCTGACCTTGTAATAATAACTTAGTGTCTGTGATTGCTTATTCTTCGTAATCAGCAAAGCCCTAGAGAGAGGTCTACCCTGCCGATAATGGATCAACGCAGCTAGTGACGCAATTAGCTGGAGCACGAAACCAGCGATAGTGTAACACAGCGCAGAAAAGAGAACCGATATCGAAGCCGTAGGCTTGCTCGTCTTCCTAAAGCATTGCATGTCTCGACACTTCCGCGACGGGCTTGTTTTGGCTCGGCAACAAAATATTTCCCTCATTTGTCAGCACTGAATAACAAAAACTGCGAGGCGGCGAAATACATCTGTGTCGTTGTGTGTGTGTGGGGGGGGGGGCAGTGAGTGACCTACTGTACGTCTTCCTAAATAGGTCTCGTAATTGTGGCGTTTTGTAAATGGTGCTTGAAAGTTTTTTTTTACTGCGTGACTTACGAAACGAATCATGGTCTGTGCACGCGCCTGGCCTTTTAATTTATCCTAAAGGCAAACAAAAAAAGCATAATAATTGTCCAAGCGTCACGATCGGTTCATGCTGTGAAGTTGGCAGGTCAGATTCGTACTCATCCACCTGTTAGTGGCCTTTGACATGTTCTTATCAGGGCTAATCGTCGGTTTGCTAAGTAGTCTACGCCCACTTTCGCTTGTCAGTGGTAGGTACAGTATGGTACGATGATGCAGAAGAGCCCGGATCCCGCCAAACAAAGCTGCAGTTACGATAGTGCAGAGTCACCTATGGTTGGAGCACGCTAAGGTCTTCCTGTAGTTTTACACAATTCGATTTCAAAATAAAAAAAACACCCTGCCAGCCGAACACCTCATAAAAACCACGTCGACTGGCAGATCAGCTTGTGAAGTTTTAAGTTGCGTCAGCTGTAGCTCCAGTGTCAGCTGTATTTCCAATTTCTCACCCTTGACAAATTTGGAAATGGGTTTGCATTGTGATATAGGAGGAGGAAAAACCCACCAAACACTTCACAATGGCAACGGCAACGGCGCGAGCAAAGGTTACGCTGCAGAAAATCTCCTCTCGTGACAACCCTTCCACGTGAGAGGAGCCACGTGCTCTCGGGATGAAAATGAGTGTGCTGCAGCTGTCGCGTGTTGACTGGATCGCACTGATAATGAGATCTGTTAGGTTTCAAACAATTAACGCAGCAATGGGGGAAGTGCTTGCTTGTTTTAGGTACATTTGGGAAGAACAAGGACGACATTCCTGCTTCTAGATAGAGCCAATCAGTCTGATTTGACTTTAAACCCGTATTTTCACTCTGCTGTAACAGTAACCATGTGGCGCAAGGCTTGAGCTGAAATTTCAGCATGCACAGATGGTGTCGTTTAAAAAACCTGCGGGGGGTGTGCACTTTTTTTTTTTCTCACGCTACTGCGCCATTCGACGTGACAGCAGGAATAATGAACGAGATAATCCGTGCAGATACTGAAGTTGTATTGAAAATTATTCGAATTGACGAGTGCATTTTTGTCGGGGTCTTTAATCATTTCTTGCATGAAACCTGAAGAAAAGAAATATTTGCACTGATACTTTTTATTAACGTTTTTATACAATTTTAACGTCTTGACACTATAGATGTGTACCATTTACCAGAATTAAAAAAAAAATGGAATATCACGTTTTGCACAAAGTACTTAGCTTGCAGAAACCGTGCCTACGCGATTAAAAAACTTAATGAAGTAAATAACAACAGTAACACCCGAGCCCTCGCGTTCTCTTGCTGCCCCTCGACCTTATTAATTTAAGGTGGTTTATCCACCGACGTTCTAACCTTGTGAAATATCGGATCATTGAGAAATCCGCGAGGCCGATCACGTGCTCGCCGACGGAATTCCTGAGTCACAGTCGCCCGTCTGCCCTGCCTGGTTCACGAGCCAGCCGCGCGAGAACACGCCTTCTCCTGTTCAGGGACGATTATACAGCACAGCAGATGAATGGAGGCCTGTTCTCTCCCCATCTTCACATGCGCTAGCCCTTCAGGGTTGGTTAACTCCCAATTAACTCTTCACAAGCCAAGCTGAAATAGAACAAGCGCTCGTTGTTTCCGAGGGACTCTTTTCTTTCTATTGTACTGAAAGCCAGGAATTGCAGTACAGATATTCAGAAATACCTACGTGCATGTTAATATGCAGGCCTTGTGGCTATGTTGTAAATGTTCCAGGATAGTTTTAACTGCCCAAATTCACGTTTATGTGCAACTATCCAAGAATCCATATATATATATAAATGGAAAATGTGTTCTATAGCACAGCATATACTGTACTTCTGTGATTTAAGAGCAAGACGTGGTCCAGAGACGGGCACATCTATAATTTCTTTGCTTGCAGTAAATGTGCATTTTCCTTCACCGTCCATGTAGTTTATAGGCTTACACATCACCTAAACACTTCATAAACACCCAGAGAACCTCCTTGGCATCTGTTTGTGAATGTTTGGAAATGGAAGCTTGTACAAAGATGAGGTGACGTTGTCTCTGACCCCAATTTTAAAAAACAACCTGGGGTCTTCAGTTCATGGAAGACCCTTAGCCTGCCAGGAAGAAGACTGTTTTAAAATGCAATAAGTTGGGCGATTTCAAGGAGTGTAAAAAGAGTGCAGCGTATTTGTTTTTAGGCATTACTTCCACACCTCATTAAATCCTTGTGCTTGAACTCTTTTTTTTGCCAACATGCACCAAACGTGTGATGTAAGTGACCTAAAAGCATTGAAGTCCATGAATTATCATCTTTAAGACCTAACTTCAGATTCCTCAAAGATTCCTTTAAACCTTTAAAAGTCTGCTGTAGATGAACATAAAGACATGATTTTAGTTGCAGAAAAGGATCCCAATGTGGTGACCTGCATCGTCTCAAAGGGCTCACAAAACTCCTCATGAAGATTTAGTACTGTTAATGAGGCCCGGTATATATGACGTTTAAAGAGTTTTAGCGAATTTCTTTCACAACTATAATATTTTCTCAACCCGGATGTAGTCTGCGAAGTGACAGTTCGACACACGGCGTGCCCTGGCTGGGAAACTTTCCTAGATGCGTGAAAACCCTTTGATACAGGTTGCCGGTTGCCGTGCAATCTCCGCTGTTGACGTTACAGAAGTATTTTCCAAGTTTGCCTCGTTACACTTCACCGTCTTTTCGTGACGCAAGAAACAACGTTGCCATTCCTTGTGAGACGAGGCACTGTATCAACATACACGCTGGGTTCAAGGCAAGGGAAACGGAGAGATGCTGGATATCCAGCCGAGCCACAGCTCTCGGAACCAGCTTGGATCAGACAGACGACCCGCGCCCGGTTCGTCTGATTGTGCGCGCCAGTGCTGTTTTAGATTCCGGCTTAGCAAGCTCATTTCTTTTCGTCTGTTACCGAGACTCAGCACCCGCAGGAGAAAAAAAACAACAACCAGCCATCGGAGATTAACAGGTCAACACAAATTACGTGGCACAGACACAAAGGATCACAAGCTCCTGGCTTTTTCCAGCTGTCTTAGCTCGTCGCCTTGAAGCGATCCCGATTACATTTCCGAGACCGCTGATTTACAAACCGGGGAAGACACGAAAACGGGTTTGAAAAACGACTTCTCGTCCACGAAATACAGATTTCAGAGATCTGGTTGGATGTAATACGTGGGCCCACCTGACTTTTAAACGCACACTTAATTTAATTTCTCATTGAAAAATGACATCGTAGCAATAATGGCGTTTCGTGTGCTGATTTAGTTCAATCACACTACAGCTCTGCTCATATTCTTATTAATAATTTTATTATATTCTATAATATTATTAGCAATTCTGCTTCCCCGACTCTGCTCACTTGACAACTGTAGTGTGCATTGTGTTTATGTGAATGAAAAGGTGTGAAATACTAAATCATTCAGTAAATTCCTGGGGGATCCGGAGTCATTTAGTGGAGTTCAGGCAAGTTGACTTCAGTTTAAGGACTGCAAGCACTATCATGACAAGAATGTGGAGCACCATGTGGATTCAACACAATGCGGGCGTGCGAAATCCGTCCAAGTGTTTTGTAAACAGACGGCAATAATAATGTGTTAACCCTTTGCATTACAGACGAAAGCAACGCCGCAAAACAAGTTTGGGGAATTTGCAAGTATGGTCATGTTCCAGGTTGCATGACTATGCGGCTGTTAGTTGCAACCAAATTTGAAGAATAACCGTTTAATCTCCCTTAATACCAGTTTATTTTTAACTGGTAAACCTTCATTTTTATGCAAAAGTCTTAATTTTTCCTTTGAAAAATCACGAGGATATCCCAGTTTTTTAATATATATTTCCCAGTTTTTTAATATATATATATTACATACAGGAACATATCATTGTAAACTATGAATTCAGTTGATTAAACCTGCACTAACGTTAGAAGTTAACGTCTTTTAAAGGCAGTTTCTGCCAGAAGGAAAAATGCAAGACACCTTAGTGATAGTGCTACGATTTAAGCTGTGAAATCTGCGTTTCTGAGCAGCCGCTGCGAGACTTACACAGTGTATTGCGTGCGTAAAACACTCAAGTCTTCTACACACTGCATGAGAAAGTTATTTACTCGATGGACGATGCCGTATTCTAAACACAGAGTGTCTTCAAAAGGTAAGTAACCTAACTCGAAGCCTTCACCTTGCCACAATGTTGCGGGCAGGCGGGCTGAGAGTCCGCTGCGTCAACCATTTGAAAAATTCGCCAGGGGATCTCGGAAACCTGCGGAGAGCTCCCTTCTTGTTCGGTTTACGAGCTAGACTTGGAACAAGTGAAAAACGCTTCTCTCCGCATACCAAGGCGTCTCATCCCCAGTCAAAGGAAAACACTAAGGAGAACAGAGAGAAGGGAGGGATCCGCCAGCTGCGCTCACTATAATTAGACAGAAAACAGGCTAGCTTCTGCCATCATTAATCACCGACAGCCAACTCCAAGAAAGGAATTTGTGTTCTGTTGACTTGAAGTCTTTATCTGGAAAGGGTTATGTTGAACCAAATATAGTGATCGCACACTCTTTGAACT